TTGGCATCCAAAGCATATCAAGTGATACAAATTATCTTTCTTTTTTGTCTAAATGTAATCTACATTGGTTTCTTCTAAATCCTAAAATGAAATGGCAAACCACTAATGTATTCTCAACACTGATTTAATAATATCTTTAAATACAGCTGGATTATTTAAACATTTTCCCCCTGCCCCCCCTGCTCAAAGCTCTTCTTTTTTTCTTTTAATTTATTTTATTTTATTTTATTTTATTTTATTTTATTTTATTTTATTTTATTTTATTTTATTTTAAAGATTTTGTTGATTTAACATGAGAGGGAGGAGAGGCAGAGGGGGAGGGAGAACTGATTCTCTGCTGAGCAGGGAGCCTGATGCAGAGCCACCCCAGGACCCTGAGATCATGACCTGAGCTGAAGGCAAACGCTAACCAATTGAGTCACCCAGCTGCCCCTTAATTAATTTGTAATTAAATTTTATTAAATGTATTAAATTCAGTAGTGTTAACTAAATCTGTTCTGCAGCAGATATCTAGAACTTTTTCATCTTGCAAAACTGAAGCTCTATTCATTGCAGAGCAACTCCATGTTTCCCTTTTTCTCAGGCCCCTGGTGACATTGTTCTACTCTCTGTTTCTATTTGTTTGACTACTGTAGACACTTCATATAAGTGACATAATATAATATACAGTATTTGTATCTGGCTTATTTCACTAAGCATAATGTCCTCAAGATTCATCCATGTTGCAGCATGTGACAAGATTTCCTTCTTTTCAAAGACTGAATAATATTCTATTGTATTTATATGCCACATTTTCTTTATCCATTTATCAGTGAATGGAAATTTGGGTTGATTTTACCTCTTGGCTATTTTGAATAATACTGCAATGAACATGGGTATACATATATCTCTTTAAGATCCTTCTTTCAATTTTCTTGGTTATATATCCAAAAGTCAGATTGCAGGGTGATATGGTAGTTATATTTTTAATTTTTTGAGGAATCATCATACTGTTTTCCATATCAGCTAGTTTAAACAATTTAATATTTAAATAATTTTATATTTAAACAAAATTATAGCATAATAGTATGGATATACAAATTGATACATTAAAACCAATAAAATATTATGTATGAAAGAAAAAGCATGATATAGGATAAACTGAAAATTTTCGTATATTTTTTTTGAAAACTTATAAGTAACTGTTTCAAAGGCATTTTTAAAAATAAATTCAGATGGCCAGGGTCACCTGGGTGGCTCAGTTGGTTAAATGTCTGCCTTTGGCTCAGGTCATGATCCTGGGGTTTTGGGGTGGAGCCCCACATTAAATTCCCTGCTCAGCAGAGAGTGTGCTTCTCCCTCTCCCTCTGCTCCTCCTCCTGCTCATGTTCTCTCTTGCTGTCTCTTTCCAATATATAAATGAAATCTTAAAAAAAAAAATTCAGGCAGCCCTGATGGCCCAGCAGTTTAGCACCTGCCTTCAGCCTGGTGTATGATGCTGGAGTCCCGGGATCAAGTCCCACATGGGGGCTCCCTGCATGGGGCCTGCTTCTCCTCTGCCTGTGTCTCTGCCTCTCTCTGTCTCTGTGTCTCTCCTGAATAAATAAAATCTTTAAAAAAAATTTCAAATGGCCGATAGCAGTACTGTTAATTTTTTTTAAAGGATTTTATTTATCCATTCATGAGAGACACAGAAAGAGAGAGAGAGAGAGGGAGAGAGGGAGAGACACAGGCAGAGGGAGGAGGCTCCATGCAGGGAGCCCAATGTGGGACCCGATCCCAGGACTCCAGGATCACGCCCTGGGCCAGTGACACTAAACCCCTGAGCCACCTGGGCTGCCCTAGCAGTACTTTTATTACTATTTTTACTATTAATTTTACAGATTACCAATATAGTAGTATTACTACTATTTTATTTTTGCAAAACATCAATTGGGTTTGTTTACCAAAAATTGTGTGTGTGTAAACTTGTGTGTAAAATTGATTATAAGAAAAATAAAGTAAAATTTATTATGAAAATCATATACATATGATACATATTCAATAGGTCATTGTGGTTGGACAGATAGTGATGAATGAAATGGCTTCGAAGGACTTTGAATATCACACTTCAGTTAACATTCTACTTATAAATTGAACTGTTAGACAAGTTTTCATTTCCTCCAGTAACTAATATAGCTAATTAAAAGTGAAAGCAGGCAGTCAAGTTTGTGGGTGGACTCCTCTTGGTTCTGGTAATACCAATGGGAAGGGATGTTACATAAGAAAATGGTGGCTGACAGGGAAATTTTCCCTCAGATGGCAATGAGTGTAACCCTAAAAAAATAAGTGCAAGGTTTTAATGTCATCTCCCTAATATTTTTCTGTTCGAAAATTATGGGAACTTTAAATAGAAAATGGCTTTACAAATTAAAGTCTCACTAAATGAAGTGTTTGGAATCCATCTTCTTTTTTCTTGGTTCTTTTCCCTCATGGGGCTTAACTCTGGGTTTTAACCTCTGATTTGAAAATTAATGATTGTGTCATCTTGGGTCAGTACAATCTTTCCAAATTTTTCTTGCTGAATTTTATAAATGGAGGATATTATCTCACAGAGATGCTCTCAGGATTAAATGAGTAATGCAGGGACAATACCTCACATTTAGTACATGATCCATGACTAATAACAGTTACATTTAATGACTTCTTCTGACTTGCTTTATCTTCATAGGTACCGTTTTGTTTGTTTTATATTTTACACCAAAGGGAAAAGAAATCAGGGCCAGGAAAGTTAAATAAGATCCCAAATCACACAGTTAGTCAGTAGATAAATGATGGATTTAAAGCCTGTCTGACTTGAAAAATCTGTGTATTTTTACTATTATGTTATATTGCACTCTTTGCATAGAGCAAAACAAAAACAATTATGTTCACAGATACAGGTGATCTACAGATAATAACCGGGCCAGCCTGTGAGTATCTGCCAGGAGCTTGTCACAGGGAGGAAGCGCCCGATCTCCTTACTTCCCCATATTCTGCAACAGTGAACTCTGCCTGCCCAGTAAGACTGTGTCCTCTTAAAGCTTACTTTTGCATATAAATATGCAAAGAATTCAGAGGGAAACTGAAAAAGAGCAGAGAACCTGGAGGGAAACTGAAAAAAGATAAGAGGTTCTACCATAATTTCCTGAAATCCTTGAACTAAGTATCATTTTGTTTGAAGGAATTAAGATTTCTTTCTGCTATTCAAGGAGATGATTTTTGGTCTTAATGTTTCTAAATGTCGCTACAAGCTGTGATATAAAAAAAAATCTGACTTTTGATTTCCACCGTGTTTGCCAAAATTTCAACTTGTTGAGTAAAAAATGCATTGATTTTTGGCACAGTCATACTCACATCTCCAAAAATGACTTCATGCTACCAGATTTACTGACATAAAAACTCCCCCATGTACATTTTTTTCTTCCTTCAATGCAGTTCCCTCTGCAGAACTTCTTTGTAAAGAGTTAATTCTGCAGGCATATCTCCAAAAAAGGCCTTGTGCTATGATTCTTCTCAAGATTTACTGGCAAAAATATTTGGTGTTTATTTTTCTTCCTCCCTTCAGTGCTACACATGCATACACACCCCACAGTATTTCCCTGTAATGATTTAATTCCCCCATGGATGAACTTTTTACAATAGAATCTCAGACACATTCCCAGAAGTTAGTTCTGGGAAGAAGAAGCTCTGTTCCTTGAACCCTCTGCTGACCCTAACCAGAAGTGGCAGCTCCCATTTCTCAATCTCTTGCTTTACTTTTGGCTCTGTTTCAAACTCTAAGAAAAGTTATCCTTAAGTAGTTAAGAACTCTCTGTGCAAGCATTGCTCTCTGCAGCTCAAATTTCACATTTTTTCCATTTTTTTCTGAAAGGATCTTAGATTTCCTATAGTCCTTGACTTGTAGCAGCCTAGTTCATTTTCTCAGCAACAATCCAGATAGTTTTCTATTTCCCATCACTATTTAGCTTATAATATCTACAGCCAGGATGTACCTCTTTCTCTTTCCCATTTATAAAAAGGGAAGAATTTTCAGGAGACTACTCAACTGTATGATTCTTTTCAAGCAATCCAAACTTTGGGAAATAGAGGATTCTAAAGTTTACTGAACACAGAACTATATCTTTTTAGGGAAAAAATTTAAAGAGGAGCACAAATATTCTAAAGACAAATGTAAGAAGCAATAGGTAGGGATTTATTGGGAACAGCATTGGACCACAGTGGCATACAGGGATGATTCAAGCTGAAGAGGCACAGTGCTGAGAAGGGATCAGGAAGATCCAACTACACCTATTCCTAAACTCTCAAATTTCCAGATCAACTTCGTGCAGCCACAATTCTTTAGGATTCATGCCATTTTCTTTATTAAAATAGTTTGGAGGCATGTATTTATGAGTGGGAAGATAAGGCAGAGAAAAGTGCAGGAGAAAAAAAATTGCCACAAGGCAGACAGCAAGAAATAAAGCGAATAAAACAATCTTATAAAGAAAGTGTTTAAATGAATAGTAGCAAAACTATGACCTTTTGAATTTACTCACTTAGGATACCAATTCCTTATTTTTTCAAAAATTGTTTATTTTTGAGCAGATTATTTTGAAGGGATGGCCCCTCTCAGTTCTTCTATTTGTCCCCCCTTTTTTAAGCTACGGGTAAATAATAGTGAGTAGGTTTATTTTGGATAAGTGTTAGGAATATGAAGTAGAATTATCAGCTTGTTTTATAAAGTTTTGTGGTAGAGGAGGGAAACTTACTATAAAGACTATTTTATAATCAATTTTAGCAATTTATTAATAATTTTCCAAATCATCCAAAGGAAATTGAAGTGGAATTACAAGTTAGTAGCAATTATTATTATCAACTTTTACTGGTATTGGCAATCAATACAATACAAATCAGCCTAATCCTTTATTTTATAGAAAGAAAAACCAGTTCTATGTGGTTCCCAAGATCTTATTTTACCAAACCTGACAAAAAAAGTACCAGAATATTATTTTTATTCTTACCGTGTAATCTTGCTTTGATTTCTCCTCTGAAAAGCTGCAGTTCTGTGTTCAGAGAGCTTGCAGATTCTATTTATTACCCAAAGTTTGGCAGAGAACCAAATCACTGTAAGAAAGAGATCTGAGTAAGTGAGATTTTGGTAGGTTTTTAATTGCATTCAAAGAGCCAACAGAGTTACAATCCTCTCAACATTCAAGATTCCCTGTTTTCTGTCTTTTCCCCATCTCCATCTTAAAATTTAATACAAGAATTGTAGATTTCATGGTTTTTAAAAAATTTCCAACTCACATCAGAATTATCTTATATGCAACCTCCCACTCCCATTTCCAACTCACAGTCCTCCTCTGCCCCCACACATTACAATTTGGCTCTCTTTAGAGTTGAACTTCACCTTCAGCACTGTCCATATGGAAATTCTTGGAGAGGGTTTTATTTGTTAATGAGAAGTTCCTGAACTTACTTTTTCCCATGAACACACCAAATCTACAGCTACATATTGGATCGATTCCCTATGAAGAAGACCTGCAAACTAGAGGAACTGCTCTCCACAACAAAGAATAGCAGCAACAGTATACAACAAAAAGAACCACATCAAGATGGGTAGGAGAGGTACAGACAGAATCTCACAAAAAAATAAATCTGACCCCTGGCATGGCAACAGACAATAGAGAAGGAGACACCACCAGATGGGTGCTTTTCCCAGAGGAGCAAAAAGTTAGTCTCCCATATTGGGTGCCCCAGCCTGTGGGATCTGCACTGGAAAGACAAACTCCAAAATCTGGTTTGGAAAACCAGTGTGTCTGATGACAAGGAGTCCCAGAATACAATAAAAAACTGAGACTCTTTTCTTGGAGAGCTCATATATAGTCTTACTTGTCCCAAGACCCAGTGAAAAAACAGCAATTTGAAAAGCACCTATACTATATGAGGAACATTCATTTGCTAATTTGGAAGCATTGGCTGAAGGGGCAGGGGACAGTTAAGGTTCTTCCTGGAGATGGAGATGCTGGTGGACACAGTTATTGCACTCTCCACGTAGCCTGCAAGTATAGGCAGGTGAGCTCAGATGCAGCACCCTCTTACAACCTTGCTGTGATGGAGGGGGGGAGCACTTACACCATGTGGTGAGGCCAGAGAGCACAGGGGCAGTTGTAGTGCCCCTCCACTTCCTGGCTGGGGTAGGCAAGAACAAGTAGTTACTACATTCCAGCTTTCAGCCCAAAGCTGGTACTTTTGCACTGCATTACTGAAGGCTGGGGGAGGCGGGGCAGATATGTAGTGAAAACACCTACCCAACTGCATTTCTGAAGCTGGTGAGGATAACCCACTTCCTACACTCTCTAGCTGTCTTGCACAAACCAGCGGGCATGCACAGTCCATACAAGAGACACTCCTTGATTGCCTGACCCTGGTGGCCAAGACTGTAACAATTGGAAAGATAGTTTTTGGTGGGCCATCAACCCCAAGGCACTACACAGACAGCAAACTAAAACACAACCCCAATCTTCCTGTGAAAAAGATCTATTTATTTAGCCTGGAGCTTCAGCCTGAGGGACAGGCTTTAGGTATCCCATACATCTAGAGGATGAGGAGTGCATCCTGGCAATATAAACAAAGATACACCATCCTTGCATACCCCCTTGGCCTTGCTAGAGATTGATAAGACTTCCCAGAAAAGAGTTTATACACTCTTCTAGAGCCCCAATTATTGCAACTGCCACCCAGGGGACACTTCCATATCTCCTGGTCTGGAGGCCAGCAGGAATTATGATTGTGACCCAGAGAACTATATATTTGCATACTTTAAAAGCTGATGCCTGAGAGTGTGGTTTCCAATCAGCTTGAAACTAGATGCTAAATGAGATTCTTCCCCTTGAATCACTGACAGGTCTTAGCACACTCTCTACAATGGGGGAATATCAAGAATAAATCAGGTTATTTTGAGAATCACAAAGGTTTGAGAGACAACAAGAGCTAGGGTGAAGTTGAATGAGGTCATCACTTATACAAGGCTTCAAGGCTGAGAGAGGTAGTTCTTTTGTATAATACATAAAAATAAAGAGACAAGCAAAATGAGAAAACATAAATATGTTCCAAACAAAAGAAACAGGACAAAGCCTCAGAAATAGACATAAATGATATGGAGATAAGTAATTTATCTGATAAGGAATTCAAAGTAATAGTCATAAAGATGCTCACTGAACTTGTAGAAGAAATGATGAAACAATAAGAACTTCAGGTAGAGGGATAAAACTTAAGAAAATACCAAAAAGAAGTCACAGAGTTTAAGAATGCAATAACTGAACTTAAAAATAACCTAGTGGGTTCAACAGCAGACTGGATGAAACAGAAATGGATCAGTGAACTGTGGAACTCACCTAGACAGAGTAACAGAGGAAAAAAGAAAAAAATGGCAATAACTGAAGGTACATTTGGGATAACATCAAGGGGATATAACATTTGTGTTTTAGGGATCACAGAAAGAGAAAAGAAAGTGACAAAAAACTTATTTGTAGAAATAATGGCTGAAAATTGCCTTAACCTAGGAAAGGAAACAGACATCCAAATCCAGGAAGCCCAGAGAATTCCAGATAAAATGAACCAAAAGAAATCCATGGCAAGATACATTATAATTAAAATGTCAAAAGTTAAAGAATCTAAAAGCAGCATGATGTTTTTTTTTAACCAAATTGTTACATACTAGGGAAAGACTAGTCAAACAGATTTCTTAGCAAAAATTTTGCAAGCCAAAAAGGAATTGAATGATATATTCAAAGCACTGAAGGGAAAAACTTCAAACCAAGAATACTCTGCCTAGCAAGGTATCATTCAGATTGAAAGAGAGATAAAGAAAATTTTAGACAGAAGCTAAGGCATTCATCACTACTAACTGGCCATATAAGAAATATTAAAGAGACTTCTTTAAGTTGAAAAGAAATGGCACTAACAAATAATAAGAAAGACAAAAGTAAAAATCTCACTGGAAAATTTAAATATATAGTAAAGGAAGAGGATTAATCATTTATGAAGCTATTAAGAATTTTGAAGACAGGGGATCCCTGGGTGGCGCAGCGGTTTGGCGCCTGCCTTTGGCCCGGGGCACGATCCTGGAGACCCAGGATCGAATCCCACGTCGTGCTCCCGGTGCATGGAACCTGCTTCTCCCTCTGCCTGTGTCTCTGCCTCTCTCTCTCTCTCTCTCTCTCTCTCTCTCTCTGTGTGTGTGTGTGTGTGTGACTATCATGAATAAATAAAAGTTAAAAAAAAAGAATTTTGAAGACAAAAAAAGAATTTTGAAGACAAAAGTAGTAAAATCAACTAAAACCATAATAGTTTAGAAATATATAAAAAAGACATAAGGAGTGACATCAAAAACATAAAAGGGAAATAAAAATGTAGTTTTGGAATGTGTTCAAAAAGATAAAAAAATCGGCAGACCTTTAGCTAGACTTACCAAGAAAAAAAAAGGGTTCAAATAAATAAAATCAGAAATAAAATTACAGGGATCCCTGGGTGGCGCAGCGGTTTGGTGCCTGCCTTTGGCCCAGGGCGCGATTCTGGAGACCCGGGATCGAATTCCACGTCGGGCTCCCGGTGCATGGAGCCTGCTTCTCCCTCTGCCTATGTCTCTGCCTCTTTCTCTCTCTGTGTGACTATCATAAAATAAAATAAATAAATAAATAAAATAAATAAAAAAATAAAATTACAATTGGTGCCACAGGAATACAAAGAATCATAGATGACTAGTACGAATAATTATATACCAATAAATTGAACAACCAGGAAGAGATGGACAAACGCCTAAAAATTTGTAATCTTCCGAGACAGAACTGTGAAGAGATGGAAAATCTGAATAGACCTATTACGTTAAGAATATTGAATGAGTAACTCAAACCTTACCAAAAAAAAAAAAAAAAAAGCCCACAAAAAACCTATCCGGGAACAGATGGCTTTACTGGTGAATTCTACCAAACATTCAAATAGCATTTAATTCCTGTGTTTCTTAAACTCTTTCAAAAAATGTCAGAGGAGAGAATACTTCCAAACTTGTATGCAACCAGCATATCTTGATACCAAAACCAGACTAGGACACCACAAAAAAAGAAAATTATAAACTAATATTCTTGATGATCACAGATGTAAAAATCCTCAAGAAAATATTAGCAATCCGAATTCAACAATATGTTAAAAGAATCTTACACCATCATGGGGTGGGATTTATTCAGGGATACAAGGATGATACAGCACCCATAAATCAATCATGATAAACCACATTAACAAAATGAAAGATAAAAATCATATTATAATTTCAATAGATACAGAAAAAACATTTGACAAGATTAGAAAAAAATCTTAAAGTGTGTACAGAGTGAACATTATCTCCACATAAAGACATATATGTCAAACCCACAGCCAACATTACTGCCAATGGTGAAAAGCTGAAAATTTTCCAAGATAAGGAACAAGACAAGAGTGTCTACTTTTGTTACTTTTTATTCAACATAGTATTGGAAATCCTAGCAGCAGCAATTAGGCAACAAAAGTGAATAAAAGGCAAACGAATTGGAAAGGGAGAAGCAACATTATTACTATTTGCAGATGACATGATACTGTATAGAAGAAACAAAGGACTCCACCAAAATGCTGTTAGAATAGATGAATTCAGTAAAAGTGCATATAGAAAAATCTGTTGTGTTTCTATATAGTAATAAACTCTCAGAAAAATAAATCAAGAAAAAAATTCCATTTACATTAGATCAAAAAGAATAAAATGCCTTGGATTAAATTTAACCAAGGAGGTGAAAGTCCTGTACTCTGAAGGCTATAAGACATTAATGAAAGAAATTGAAGAAGACACTAATAAATGGAAATATATTTCATGATCACTGATTAGAAGAATTAATATTGTTTACAGACCCATGCTGCCCAAAGCAATCTACAGATTCAATGCAATCCCTACCAAAATTCCACTATTTTTCATGGAACTAGAACAAATAATTCTAAAATTGTCTGGAAATAGAACAGAACCTTAATAGCCAAAACATTCTTTAGAAAGAACAAAGCTGAACATAGCACACTCACTGATTTCAAAGTATACTCCCAAGCTATTATAATCAAAACAATATGGTATTGGCATTT